TTATTATTATTATTATTATTATTATTATTATTATTATTATTATTATTATTATTATTATTATTATTATTATTATTATTATTATTATTATTATTATTATTATTATATAGTTCTGGTCAATAGAGATGCTAATACCCTAGAAAGAGTGCAGAGAAGAACAACAAAGATGGTAAGAGGTCTGGAGAGGCTAAATTATAGGATGAATGGTTAAAGGAACTAGCTATGTCTAGCCTAAGGAAGAGAAAGGTTAGAGGGGACATGATACCTGTTTTCCAGTACTTAACAGACTAATAGAATAACAGAGCTGGAGGGGACCTTGGAGGTCTTCTAGTCCAACCCCCTGCTCAGGCAGGAAACCCTACACCATTTCAGATGAATGGTTGTCCAATCTGTTTCTAAAATCTTCCAGTGTTGGAGCACTCACAACTTCTAGAGGCAGGTTGTTCCACTGATTAATTGTTCTAACTGTCAGGAAACTTCTCTTTAGTTCTAGGTTGCTTCTCTCTTTGATTAGTTTCCATCTGTTGCTTCTTGTCCTGCCTTCAGATGCTTTGGAGAATAGCTTGACTCCCTCTTTGTATCAACCCCTGAGATATTGAAACACTGCTGTCATGTCATCCCTAGTCCTTCTTTTCATTAAAGTTGGCCATGTTGAGTTGTCCTGCACTGAGTTGGCCGTGGCGAGTTGACCATGGCGAGTTGACTGTGGTGAGTTGTCCCATTCCATGCCAGGGATGAAGACTAGGGTGACAAGTAGGGGAGGGGAATCCATTTTAGATGAAAGCAGTGGCAAATAACTTCTGTACTGTGACCAAGAAGAGTACGTGGAAACTCACAAAGGTCTATTTAATGAAGTGGATCCAATAGGAAAATAGAACATTCAGAAAAAATAGAACAACTTCTGGCAGTGGGTGATATCTGTGAACATATCTTTCTCATGTTGGCCAATTATATTCAGCAGTTATTTCTCTCCCACAATAAAAATGTATCTATGAATACAAGTTGCTGGCAAATCCATTGCTTTCTTTGGCACTTTGTAACAAATTGCAATAGAGATCTAAGAGCTATACTCATAAATTATCTATGCAAACTGTGAAATGCTTTTTATGATTCCCACAGACACATGATTGTCGATGGTGAGATCAAAAATGTAGGCTAGATGGCCTTTTGGTTCTTATCAAATCTGACTCAACTTTCTCTTCTCCTGAGATAACAGATTTTTTTTTACAAAAAATATTCATAAAATGGAGAAAGCCATATTATGAAATTAAGTTAGTAGTAGTAGTAGTAATTTAGGATACTAAATTATTTCCTTGAACAGTTTACAGTTAGTTTATGGAACTCATTGCCCAGAATGTAGTTATGGCCACAAGCTTACATGATTTCACCTTAGATACATTTGTGGATAGCAGATCTATTAAACCAGGTTGGCAATTCATGCCTCTAATGAAGTGTGCTGCGAGCAACAAAAGTCTTTTGTAAAATTGAATCACACTTATCAGTCAGCTCTGTTACAATTACAGTGGTGATGCAGTGGAGTAATTGGATGTATAGGTGGTTTCCTGTTGAAGTATCTAGCTGATGAATTATCAGAAACTTTTTACGTCCATAAATCATTTGCTTAATTGATCAATGTTAGGAAGGCATTATTAGAGAATAGTATCTAAAACTGCAATCATGGTGATCTTGAATGGACATGCCAGAAATCATAAGTTTTTTCAGAATTCATCCTTCAACTTGGAGGAGTAAATGTGAGCCATACAAGAAAGACCAGACTAAGGAAACAATGCCATATTGGTCAGGACTATTTTTATTATAACAGCTATAGTAACAGAATCTTGCAAGTCTAAAAGTGATCCCCCCACTAGCATTTCATCTTCATGTGAACTAGGGAGGGGCTTGTCTAGACATTTTCTTCAATTATTGTCATGGCTGGGGTACAAGCCCTGCTCATTTGACCATTTGGGAGCAGCTTTTCTTTCTGTCCCTCAAGGCTCTTCCCTGTTCCCTCTATAGTAGAGGCAATAACAGAAACAGATTCTCATTCCCCATATCTTCCAAAGCCTATTCTTCCTAACATCAAATATTAGGAAAGATCAAGAGGAGGTATATCAGATGTAAGGTGTGCTGTAACCAGATGCCTTCCTACTCACACCTCTAATAAATGTCCCAAATGCATACTTTATCATTGTCTGCTCTGGACTGGGTAAAGCTACATTCAAAATTGTAAAATTAAAAAGAGATCCCACTTTTATTTTTACAAAATTTGGGAATTAAAAAAAAGAGATGCTACAATGTCTCCTTTACTCATTCTTAATGAACCAGGCCAAGCAGCCTTAGCTATTTAGGCACATGAGCTCTCAAAATAACAGTTTCCTGTCTGTGACTGTAATTTGCATTCAATTGTAGGGGGAATGTCTTACCTTAAGGGTATATTCATCTCTCAAAACTGAGGTGTCAACATTGATGTTATTATTTTGATGCCCCATATTTCTATGTATGACAGCACTTTAGGGTTCTGAGTACTCACAATTTTTTTTTTTTAATCTCAAAACAGTCTATAGTAAAACTACATATTACCTAGTATAGTTATTATGTATGCCGAGACTCTTGTCCTTGAGGCAGTAGCAGAAGGAAAGCGCAAATCATACCAAAGAAGTAAAATTGAAAAGGAGGCGAATGCATAGTCTTCCTCATTTACTATGTTCTCCAACCTATGTACAGTAGCATTCCACATTTGGGATGTAAATGTAGTTTTGGAAACTCATCTGGAGGAGTTTTTCAGAGTAACAACAGTGACAGGAAAACCATCAGGTGCTCGTTCTGTCTTAATTCTGCTGGACTTGTGTTAAGCCCTTTACAGTTTAGAATGCAAGAGTCCCACAAGTTCTAGAACAGGGGTGTCAAACTCGCAACATCATGTGACATGTCTCGATGTATTGGGACTTTTTTGCCATTGCTGGCAATGGGGTGGGTGCGGTTTTGCTATGATGCATCCGGCCCGTGGGCCAGCAGTTTGACATCCGTGTTCTAGAATGCAAGTTTCCCATAGATTCAGAGAAGGCAGATGTATCTCAATAAGGGAGGGGCTAGGTTACAGAATCTTGGAAATTGGCTGTGCATATCTTGCGCATCTTA